TGATGGTGCACCCCGTTCCAATCGCAGGGTGATCCATGATCCAGAACTCGCTGATTGACTCCCTTCGCCCGCTCGCTCGCTCGCTTGCAGGTGGTCAGTCGCCTCCTTGTGGCTCTTCTATCGCTACTACCAAATTCACGCAGTTTCCCCCACTCGCACCTCCGATTGGCACGGTTGGCTACGTACGGCGCGAAAGAAGTTCAACGTATGTACGTAAATCACAGTGCCTCCGATTAGCATGGTTGGATATGTACGGTGCAAAATAAGTTCAATGTATGTACATAAATCACAGTGCCTCCGATTAGCATGGTTGGATATGTACGGTGCAAAATAAGTTCAATGTATGTACATAAATCACAGTGCCTCCGATTACCACGGTTGGCTACGTACGGCGCGAAAGAAGTTCAGCGTACATAAGTAGAGGACTCGGCCTCACCAAACTGCGTCTCCCCTCGCACAGCTCGACTTTATTGCATCCCATCGTCGCTTTTCCCGAGTCACTATGACCCTCGCTCAATTCAGGCAGAGACTTAACTCGTATCTCTTACGGCTGCGATAGTAGTGCTGGTTGTTGCTGGGCATTTGGAGTTTCTGGGCCTTTGGGTCCTGTGCTCAGAACCTGTGAATAAAAAGACAATTTGGATGTATATGCAATGACGGTAAAGGGGAGGATATCTGTATTTCGGTATGCACGTGTAAGCTTCAACTCCAACAGATGTGTGCAAACATTGACAAATGTAAGCTAACATACTGGGTAAATGTATGCATCTACAGGTGCACGTATTGTCTCTCTATAGAAGTACCTGTTGTATGTAAACGCGGAAACACGCGCTAACACGCGCTAACATGCACACATATAGACACAAAGACAAAGCACCCCCCCTTTCACAGACATATAGGCACACACATGGACGCCCACACATTGATCACATTATTTAAGTTGCTCTGGCAGATATACCATATACAAATCGCGTGATTATTGCCAGGCGTTACCCTGCGAAAAAGTAGACGGCAGTATGGAAACTTTGACCAACTTTTCAGACAATTGCCGTTCAGTTGAATTCTTACGTAAAAGCCATGCACAATGCCATGCAATAACCGAACACAAACGCCCAGTTTTGACTGATATGGTGTTGGGATCACTGCAGTGACGATGTGTGCTATGAACCTCCGGCAAACCGAGTTCGATGGCCAGTGACGGAGGTACACGGGTTGTCATTCACAGAGACTGGTACCAACCGTTCTAATGTCAGTGCCGATGTCACATACCATACCTAGTACTCATTTGAGGCCGAATCAACTTAGGGGAGGCCCAGGACCTGGTTCAGCTATTCGCCGCTCATGTCACACACGAGTGGGACTTGGAACTGTGGTTGCCGGGACCGGTAGCGCTGTGCACTGACCCTTGTGATTCCCCTCTCCAATAGTAATAGACAAAGATCCCCCGTATAGCCTTTAATAGACTCTTGGGGCAAGTGCTGTTAGCGAGTAGCACCTATGAAGGCCGACACAGCACACGAGAGGGTGGGTGGCCAGCACCACGCCCGACCGCCTTTGTCTCCCGAGTGGCAATGTTTACAATCCGCTCTATGAACTCATCTGAGGTTGAGCCGACCTAGGGGTAGCCCGTGACCAGGGAATCAAAACCCGGGTTGCCGGGGCTCGTGGGGCAGCTACACTCTCATTCCCCTTGTTAGTAATATACACGCACGCACACATTGATATATTCGGAGCACGCGCAATAATCTGTCTCCCCATTGTCAAATTTTCCATCGGTGGCGTCCTGTGAAAGCAGACTTGGCAGCCCTAGGCAGACAGACTCCTCTCCAGCTGAAATGCTGATCCTAGTACGAAAAAAAAGTGTTGCAGCCAGATGTGGCTAGTGAATAAATTTCACATCCTTTTATTTTACGTCGTCTGTTCGTCAGCAGAGCGTGTAATGTGCCGCCCAATGTAGGTGCGATTGACATGCCTCTAATCCACTCAGTTAGACACTGACCTGCAGTGAACAAAAAAATGTCTTGTAGGAGTCATTACAAACCCAGCTTCATTACGTTTCTTTGCGAAGTTTGTGCGCGTTTCCCCGCATGTGTGTGTGTTTTCTCCCGGTACAGTTCTGGTTTTCTCCCACACGTGTTTCATCCAAACAGGAAATGGCCAAACATCCGGAGAAAGAGTTTGAGACTGAGTGATGTTTCCTGGGTAAACAAACATTATTTCTCACCACTGCTGCCAAACGCACATTGAAATACGTATGCAGTAATGTATGCAGAACCCCAGTCATCCTTCCAGCGGCTTTTGAATGTCCATCGAACAAAAGCGATCGTTGCATCGTGCGCTTTCAGATGCGCTTCTGTGGCCATCTCGGACGCCCTTCCTTCCGATATTAGGAAGCCACTGGAGCTATGCACTTTAAAATCATCTAGATTGAAAACTCATTTCTGTATTACTTGATTTTTGTGTTTAGTTTGTTGTCCTTCCCCGCCACCTCCGATTAGCACGGTTGGCTACGTGCGGTGCGGAGAAAGTTCAACATGCATACGCGCAATGCCATGTTATATACCACGTAACCGCATGGCCTCACTGTCGATGAGTTTATTCGCCACATTGTTCCTAAAGGGTCGACACAATGGGGATCACTTTGTGTGAAGTCCATGGTGGTTGTCCTATGGACAGACTGGATCCCCAACATAGCCATATAGCATTTCTAGATTGTTTTTTTTCCAGAGTCACTAGTCGACAGGTGCGTAACTAACTACTCAACTGAACAGGAAGACACATTGACTTCATTATCAATAGCTATTGATAAGACAATGAATATCCATCGCCTCTTAATTATTTACCCAAAACATCTGCAACACAAACTTTACGGAACAAATGTATTTTATTTTGATTTAAAGCTTTCGTGACTGCAGGGATTCATATTCTTGGTCCTTTCGGTAAAGTCACGTAGAAGGGAAACAATAAAATAATTTAAATATAAAACAATAAAATTCTCACGACGTTTCGACTGCAACACAAGCAATCATCATCAGGTGTGAAAACCACAACAAGAACATTTAAAAAAAGTGGCGTTTTTTTAATACAAACTAAGTTGCCTCTGTGGTAGTAGTTACATTGGAGAAACCAAATGACATGTCTCGGACCGCATTCGTGAACACAAAGCAGACCTGAAACACGGTAGGACCAACACCTCGGCCATGGCAGATCACTGTTATAATTCAGTAGGTTCACATGACATTGACTTCTCCAAGACAGAGGTTATTTGCAAGCCATATGGCTACCATGAGAGATTCGTTCATGAGGCTATCCACATATACGAACACAGAGACAATTTCAACCGAGAAGATGGATTCTGGCTTAGCAATCATTGGAAGGATTTGATAAACCATTTCGGGTATTAATTGATTGATCACGCTTAAGGTGGCTTTCAGACTTCATCCATTAGTTTTCGCCTCCCCCCTCCTATTTTCCGAACATAGATGGACTCGTCCATCTGAACAAACTGTCAAATCGCTCTCCGTGATGCTAACGTTAAAAATAACTGCCACTTTTTTCAAATTTTCTTGTTGTGGTTTTCACACCTGATGATGATTGCTTGTGTTGCAGTCGAAACGTCGTGAGAATTTTATTGTTTTCTATTTTTATTATTTTATTGTTTCCCTTCTACGTGACTTTACCGAAAGAAGCAAGAATATAAATGTATTTTATTTTATGTGTGTTCGGGTTTGTAACTAACGCGCGTTGTCCATCGCGATGTCCAACGTTTTGCTGCCAAAAGCTAACATTGTATGCCGTTAGAATTCAGCTTCTGAAGAAGCTCCTGGGAACGCATAGCGAAACGTCGGACATCTCGGCGAACAACATGCGGTGCAAAAAAAACACATGGGGGGGGGGGGGGAGGGGGCGAAAAACCTACCACGCAGGAGTTTAACAGCTTTAATTTATATTCTTTGCCAATCTTTAAAAGTCAATTTTATTTTCCGAATCAGCACCGCAGTGCAGTGTGTGCTCATTTAATGAGTGCAATCGGTGCATTATAATGCAAGTGAATATGAAACGCTCCAGAACACATTCCCATAAGCCATTAACCAATAGGGGCTACTTCACAACACGGCAGCTGTGTAATTCAAAGCAGCTTAAAAAATAAATAAGTTAAATAGCATACTTTTGAGGCCGAGACAGTCCTATGCATGTCTTTCCAAGACGTCATGTGCGTGGTATGTGGAGTTCAACCTCTCTTTACCCCAGTTCTGCAAACGACAACACTGCCACCACCCCTCCAGCGCACGCAGTCCACACCACCCACTCACATATCCACCGCTCTCCTCTCACTCTGCACGTGTACACTCTCACTCTGCACTCATCCACTCCCACTCTGCACTCATACACTCTCACTCTCCACGTGTACACTCTCACTCTGTACTCATACACTCTCACTCTCCACGTGTACACTCTCACTCTGCACGTGTACACTCTCACTCTGCACTCATCCACTCTCACTCTGCACGTGTACACTCTCACTCTGCACGTGTACACTCTCACTCTGCACTCATCCACTCTCACACTGCACGTGTACACTCTCACTCTGCACGTGTACACTCTCACTCTGCACGTGTACACTCTCACTCTGCACTCATCCACTCTCACTCTGCACGTGTACACTCTCACTCTGCACGTGTACACTCTCACTCTGCACGTGTACACTCTCACTCTGCACGTGTACACTCTCACTCTGCACGTGTACACTCTCACTCTGCACGTGTACACTCTCACTCTGCACGTGTACACTCTCACTCTGCACGTGTACACTCTCACTCTGCACTCATCCACTCGCACTCTGCACGTGTACACTCTCACTCTGCACGTGTACACTCTCACTCTGCACGTGTACACTCTCACTCTGCACGTGTACACTCTCACTCTGCACGTGTACACTCTCACTCTGTACTCATCCACTCTCACACTGCACGTGTACACTCTCACTCTGCACGTGTACACTCTCACTCTGCACTCATACACTCTCACACTGCACGTGTACACTCTCACTCTATCCATTCTGCTGTCACATAGACCCACACACAGATGTGACTGTGTTCACGCTCACCATTCCTGATATCGTCAATATTGCTGTGTTTGCTGGCCGTCGGTATCAAGCCGAAGACATGAGGTAAGTGGTTTAACAAAGATCTTTGTGTTCATTGAAGAAACTGGTCCACTGCCATAGGGTTGTGACATTTCCAACAGGTCTAGGTTGCCAGTGGAGGTGACAGCCACCACAATGTTTATTTTTGTAATTTTGACTTTTGAGATGCATGATAACACTGTGCCATCATTAAAAATCACATTGAAGACACATGGATAACACATGTCCGATGTATGTAAATAATTATAATTTACAGTTTTTTTGTCAACCCGCTTTGTAAATCCACTGCTGGATGATGGCTACCCAATACTTTGTGAGTAGCGGTGAGCTGTTTGCCATACTACGGTGAAGGTGGGGAGGTACGGGCAGGATTTGTGCCATATACTATCACCCATCTGGGGGTCAATAAAACATGTAACATTTTGTTGGAAGTTAACAGTTGTTGACCTATGGAGAGACTGGCACCAACCATAGCAATGTGGAATTTACATTAACTGACTGGGGACCACCAACAGACATGAGTGCAGCACATTTTTCACTTCGAGGCAGTTTTGCTTCGGCAGATGACTTTAGTGTGGAAGAAATCAAACAACCGCCAATGGGAAATATTTGAAGCAGCAAATGTGATCAGTTGATAGCTTTCATGAATGTGTCACATACGTTGCAAAGATGTATAATTTCAAATAAAATTTCAGCGACTGCATTGGCAGCGGCATTAAAGCGCCGGGTGAAAATACTTAACGTCTGTTATAAATAAAAACGTAGATTACAATGTATTAGCACGCAGTTATTCCTTTATTAATATGCGGCGGACCTTGTAATTACGCATTCGTTCACGTCTGTTAACGTATAAATGTACCTTTGTCAATTCAAAACGTTTCATGTTTGAATATCATTTAATTGCACTGCCACTTGGTCAGCATTTGCGAACGTTGAGCATCTCATGGGTAGCAAAAAGAAAGCTGATCCACAGAGGCTGTTGTGAGGAAGGGAGATGCTCAAGCCGTGTTCATCTTACACGGGAGGTGGTCGATGGCTGACGAGAGCACGATGGCCCCATTGCAACATCACCCATAATTGGAATATTCATTCATACGGGATGGAATCCGACGTGCTATACAGCTGTTTTGCGCAGATGTCCAGTATCGGTGAGTCAACACGTTACAGCAACAAACAACACAAAAACATGATAGCAGTGCAAAGTACAAGAAAGGTAAGCAAACCACTTTAAAACAATATACAAATAAAATTAAACTATGTTTTTTTTTTTTAAATCTCACCAGGTAAAGCCAACTGATCTTTTTCAGACGGGATCTGGCCACAAATGGTGACTCAACGAGGTGGCTCATCACGTGGAAATGTCATAGCGGTTAAATCATCTAAAGAACAATAATCTAAAACACCAGGCGCCGCCTGCCCTGCCCGCACCTCGATAACATTCTCAACCCAACAAAAAAACAATCAACGGCCGTGTCTGAGTGTCTGACCTGAGTGCCCTGCACCGCGAATAGGTGCGGGGCAGCCGTTAAGTGACAAAGCGGTGGAACAGCTGCCGGCCTGGTCGCCAAACCCGCCTAAGGACTCCTGTAAAGTTTGGCCATCGAGCCGGTCAGCATCAACCTTTTTCCATCGTCTGTTCCCCCTCGGCACCGGACCTCTCGGCGAGTCCGGGGCTGAATGGAGAGATGCCGTGATTGTCTCTCTTTGCCCTGCGCGGGGTGGGGGGGGGGGGGGGTGAAAAGCTTCACCAGCCGACTGTAGTAGCTACCATCTTATACCCTTCCGTCTGTCCCGGGAAATGAAAGTATTTGCCAACGCGCTACTGGCTCGCTTGTCCTGACTTTAGCTCCAGAACCGGTGCCCCCACCAATCGGGCTTCACCGTGGATCTTGTTCTTGCACTCCGCCTGCTTTATGAACTACAACCCAGAGGTCAAGCGACCCCCTCTCCTGCCCCGTGGGTCGCCTACATTGACTTCAAGGTGACGTGGACTCAGTGGACAGGACAGCTGTCTGAGAGGCTCTCCGAGGAGGTGGCATTCCGGAACCACCAACGCGCCTGACAGCCGACCTGTACGATAGCCGGCCTGGTAGCCGATACAGCCACCAGGGTGAGGTTCAGGCAAGAGTTGTCCATGCCGTTTCACACCGGGTCCGGAAGTTTGACAGGGATGCGTGTTAGCGCCATCGTTATTCCGCCTGGCTATCGACCGGCCGACGGCTAGAGTTGTAGTCCACCGTGGGCCGTCTGTTGGCCGCGTGTACGATTTACCGACAGGGATCAAGCGGCCGATGTCTGCACTGCTCGTCGGCCACCTGGTAGTGCACTTCCGTCCTGCCCAGTTGCGCTCGGTCTGTCGCTCAGAGACCTGGGTGCAAAAAAGCCTCGCTCAGAGACGTCGACGCCGCTCGCGTCCAGCACCGCGCACGCTTAGAGGTGCAATCTTTGGCCTCTGACTTCATCGCGAACGTCATCGTGACCTCAAGAAGCACAAACCATCACGCGAACTCCGGTCATCCTCGAAGCAGCAGATTTTGGCTGCTGGCCGACCGAACAAAGACGGTCACCGCATCGCGCGCTTTCAGATGCGCTTCTGCGGCCGTCTGGAACGCTCTTCCTTCCGATATTAGGAAGCCGTTGGAGCTATGCACTTTAAAATAATCTAGATTGACAAACTCATTTCTTTCGAACTGCTTTTTGTGTTTAGTTTATTGTCCTCTCCCCCGCACCTCCGATTAGCACGGTTGGCTACGTACGGTGCGAAAGAAGTTCAACATACACCCGCATACATACGTGACATCCGGCCCTGGCCTCCCCAATGTAAAGGACCTCACCCTATTGGGGCACGTAGCTCAGCCTCAACCTGAAGTTCCGGCTTACCTTGCCCTGCAGTTGAGTGTTGAAAATAGATCTCACCGATGGCTCAGCGACCACTTTTCAAAGCAACACGTTGTCAAATTTGATCTTCATTTTTTGCGTTTGTATATCAAGCGCCTACTACCATCTCTCTGCTCTTAAGGAGGACCATTTCCCGACGGGTTCGCGCACGATAAATTATTTGTTTTGAGGGAGAGTAAATCGTGGTGTCTCTTTTATAAGTTGACAAGAGGAGCCCCCAGCATGGGGAGCTGTCGAGAACCCCCCTCTCTGGAAATGATGGACTCCCAGAAGGCCGTGCGGTTGACGGGTTGTGTGACAACTACTTTTACGTTGTACGTGGAGAGGCAGATATGTGGAGGAGACATTTTCCGTTATTTAATTCTACCACTATGGCGCTGATGATTCTTGTTTATAGAGGCGTTTTACCCATAACGCTGCACAGCAACAGGTAACGAGCGTGTTTGTCACGTGGAGAGAACGGTCCCCCCCCCCGTCGTGGGAAATGTGAAATGCCCATTGACGGCTCAGGGCTCCAAAGCTCACTTGAGCTGGGAGACTCTTTGACTTTGACGTCACTGACAATACAATCTAAACCCATGCCACGTGCTGCTGCTGTGACGCCGTTGTCTTGCAGGAGACGCCCGTGTGCTTGGGTGTGGTGCCTCCTGGCTCTGCTGCTCGCTCTCAGGCTCAGCCTGGAAGGTGAGTGTCTCGAAGGGAGATCGCAGTATTGAGCTGGCATATATATATATATATCGGTTCGACTGTCATCCACAATCACTTCTCTCTGTGTGTATGTTGAACTTCTTTCGCGCCGTACGTAGCCAACCGTGCTAAACTGAGGTCGCAGGGAGATAGCAGGGGATAGTGGGAAAGTTCTGCATCCCAGTGTGGATAAAAAGGTCACTTTGGAGGGATTTCAGAAGCAGTTTGGTGATAATCTCCTTCTGCGGACCGTTCTCTCACGTAAGGTAATGCACTGCTCTGAAAGAATATTGAATGGATTGTTTTTCTCATGATACGAAAGTGACAGCACAATTGGGACAGCATTGGGAGGAAAGAGAGGCGAAAATAAACCAAACATTAAGGAGATACTAAAGGGTATCATACTCTTCACGGTAGTGTATTCAAATTACATCACTTTGGAAAATAATAAACAAAAAAACCCCAAATAAATATGAACTCATATATTGCTGTGCATTATCACCAGTTTGAACCTTTGTTAAATTGAAAAAAAAACATCAAAGCATACAGTCAGGCATATTATAGCCCCATGATGTGATGTCACCGTGGCATCGTAGAACTAAATGGATGCATGAGATTAATATTCTAAATCCCGCTCTCTGGCTAAAGGTGGACCTTTAAGTGACATGCATCATACCTCAGGCCTGAATACATGGCATATGGTACGCATCATACCCTAGATCTGGATACATTGCACATGGCATGCATCATACCTCAGGCCTGAATACATGGCACATGGTATGCATCCATTATACCTCAGGCCTGAATACATGGAATATGGTACGCATCATACCCCAGGTCTGAATACATTGCACATGGCATCCATCATACCTCAGGCCTGAATACAAGGCCAATTCCTGCAGGAACACCACATACCAGACGTAACATTTCAACAACAGGGAATAGGATAGTCTGTACGTATGGAAGTGTTTTTTACATTTTAAAGTACTGCACTGTACATATTTCAGTAATCACAAAGTACAATTTCCCTTATTGCAAATTAATTGTAATTAGTCCACAATTCATTACAATTTTAAAGGTTCAATATTCACTTAATACGTGAATGTTACACCAATGATTGGCTCAATTTCCTAAGGTTCCAGTCCCCAGCCTTTGGAATTTCACAATGCAAGGAGGTGGTGGAGTGGTTTTGGAGTCGTTAGCATCGTGTCCTATGAACACCGCCACCTGAGTTCAATTCCCGGCCATGGCTAAAATCAGTAGAGAACAATATTTGAGCGAGTCCTGGGTGCTCTTCTTTCACCTACCATCGACCATTGTGGGTGAAGTATGGTCAACCCCCCGCCCCCCCTCGACCAATATGGAATGGGAAGACCCTCATCCAGCAGTGGATTGACACAGTCGAACTCTACATTGTATAAACAATAGCACAAGTCAAATGGCGCAATAGAAAAAAAAACAATAGCTTGCAAAGTGTGTCAGTATGGGTGGAGTTTGTGTGTGTTTTTTTTTTATCCCAAAGACCACTGCACGACAAGAGTGACACACTGGCAAAGCAACGCGATCCAAGATCGCGAGCTTCCGTAAATAAACACACACAGAGTGTGTTTACACAATCCAAGCACCATCTGGGGAAATACCATCAACTCCGTCATCCTGTGAGAGTCGTCTACTCGACAGCTTAAAGCTCAGAAGTTTTGCTCATCTTTCCCCCCCCCCCACCCCCTCTGGAGTTCACGGCTGCTTTTCAGTACTGGGGGTCCAGGGACCGCGATTAAATTGTTAAATGTGTAATGAGACGAAAGTCTAGCCGTAGTATCTGGACTGCACAGTCACAATTGGGAACATCCCGGTATAGGACGAAGGGGTTAAAGCTAAGCAGATATTATCCTTACTTAACAGCCCGTTGCTAATCCACTCCCGGATGAAGACTTCCCCAGGTCTGTGTCTGTCATGGGGGTTGCGTGACCGTACCTCGCAATGCTGATCATTGCAAGTTGGTGCAGTGGAAGGACCCAGGACCGGTTTAGATGGCATTCACCGCTGATGTTAGCCACGACCAGGAATAAACATCGGGTCATGGTGCTCGCCATGACCCGTGTGGTCGGAGTTGTATCTGGCCACGTGACGCCGTGCTTGGAGTGCACGCTTCTCAGTCAGAAGGTTGGGAGTTCCAATCCTGGTTGACGACAGACGCAACTCATTGCACCATTTCGTGGGTATTTGACACGTGGTTGTCCGACATTGTGCTACTGGCTGCCACCATAGGAATGTGGAATTTCAGCCAGTGTTCAAGGCTATCCTAAAACTATTAATCTTTTTAGTATTTTAACAGTTAAGACCCACTGAGCTACATGAAGGATATCTTTTTCTAGAAACGACCTGGCCACAAATGATAGCTCAACGAAGTGGCTTATCGTGTGGAAATGTATAGCAGTCAAATACTCTAAATGCCCGTTTTTTAATGTGGAAGGAAAATCAGTGGATGGGGAAAAATCCACGCAACCACGAGGAGAACATGCAAACTGCAAATATACAACAGGCGTCAGGGTTGGGATCTAACTGACGACGTCCTTGTATACCAGGCGAGGTAGTTAACATCTCACAACCGCGGTGGTCGCTACACACAGATAAACATCACCTAGTCCTCATTTGAATCAAAGAACACGTTTAAGCCCTTTTGTATTCCCGCACAAGCGTGGATTTTATTGGAGTGCTCCAGTTTTCCTCCTCCTCCTCCCACACACACACAAAATATTCCCAGTAAGGAATCGGCCAAACATCACAAAGTAGGAACCTCCTAACAAAGAAGAGCATTCTTGACTCACTGAGGCTTTTCCTGGATTAACAAAGAAATACACTTTAACTTTTCCTCATTTATCATATTTTGCTACTAGCTCGTTCTGGCTGTGCCCCTGTCTTAAAAGCATTGGACTGGACCCGGTCACCTGGCTACACTCAAGTAAACAGCACCATGTGCTGTGCATTAATACTCCTAACTTGTTTTCATAGCTTCAGAATACTGTGCCTAGCCCTCCCAGTGCGCGTGTGTTTCTTTACCTTTGAAATGCATTGTTTCCATGGGGAGCATTGGGAGTGGTGGCATAGTAAGTTAGTGCACACAGTGCGCTATGAACCCGGTGAACTGAATTAAATTTCCGACCATGGCCAACATCAGTGACACATATTAGAACCATTCCAGAACCGTCATGAGGTCGTCTCAGCCTCAAGTGAGTAGCCTGGCTTGGCGTGTAAACTTCGGCACAGGGGATACTCAGACAACCGGACGTGGATCTGTCTACACCACCGCCTCCTGTGTAATTTCAGGTGAATAATTTTCTCTGTATCTAGCCCGGATATAGGCTATCTCTTGTATGTGCTTGTTTACGTGTGTGTGGGAGTGTATAGAGTTGTGTATGTGTTTATAGGCATCTGTGTGTTCGTGTGCACCTGTGTGTGCATAGCAATGTGCATGTTTATGTTGAGCTGGCCTTAATCGGTGCTCTTCCAGGGGATCCTTTATTTTTATGTGTCCATTTTGTTTTTGTGTATGCGTGTGCTTGTGTGTGTGTTATGGCCCCTCGGTATAGAGTTATCTTGTTGGGTTACTTCAATGCCCGAGTTGGTCATGATGCTGGCACCTGGTCTGGAGTGATTGGAAGGCATGGGCCAGATCAGCTCAATAACAATGGCAGGAGGCTGCTAGATTTTTGTGCAGCCCATGGGCTTGTAATTACCAACACGCTGTGGCATCGGCGCATCCACACAACATCATGGATGCATGCCGGGTCTAAGCAAGAACATCTGCTGGACTACATAGTGATGGTACAGCGGATGCGGGCCCATGTCCTTGACACCAGGACCTACCGTGGAGCTGATCTGCCCACTGACCATCGGCTTGTAATCTGTAAGATGCGCCTGCCATTCTTCCACTCCGGTGGTGGGTGTACACCCCGGACCCTATTCAAACTCATAGTGGCATGGTCTCAGCTAGCTGATGAAAGTTGCAAGTGAGAATGTAATCATCGCTTGCGGCCGGGGTTGGCATCGTCCCCCACTCCTCCTGATGTCGAGGGGAAATGGGCGAGATTTAGGACTCTGGCTCATGCAGCTGCAATGGCTGCTTTGGGTACACGGTCCAGACCTCCCCCAGAGACCCTGGCTGACAGAGGAGGTGTGCAGGCTGGCTGAGAAAAAGCGACAGGTCCACTCTCATCGGCTACAGCATCCCACGGCAGAGAATGAGGAGGCTTACCGCAGACTTCGCTCGGAGGTTCGGAGAGCCGTGAGGCGCTGCACGGATGGGTGGTGGTCGCGGGTTGCTGAGGAGATGGAGTCTGCCTCAATGGCCGTGATCACAAATCGCTCTTTAACTCCATCAAAAAAGTAACCAGCAATGCAATACCTATTACCATCATTAGGGGAAAGAACGGTGATACAATCTCCGACCCCCAGGAACAGGTTTGCAGATTTGCTGAGCATTTCTGTGAGGTCCTGGGGGAGGGAATTCCCTCAGCCTGGAAACCGTGGGACAAAGTGGGGAAGAAGAAGTCACCCCCTGTTAGTGGCTGACTGAGGTGCCATCTGTTGAGGATGTACTACAGGCAATCCGGAGTCTGAGACCAGGAAAGGCACCAAGCAGAGATGAACTCCCAAGCGAAATGCTGAGGGAGGGTGGCGTTTGTGCACAGACTGCCCTACATAACATCATAACAACAGTCTGGACCACTGGACGGGTTCCGCAGGATTGGAAGGATGCCCTGGTCGTCCCCCTCTTTTAGAAGGGGGACCGCACAGACTGCAACAACTACAGCGGCATCTCACTCCTCAGTGTGCCTGGAAAGCTTATTCAACATCACCTCGCCAGGCACGCTGAGGAGAGGCTTGCAGAGCCCCAATGCGGTTTCAGGAAAGGGCGGTCCTACACAGATGCCATATTTTCTGTCCGTCTGCTACAGCAGAGGAGTAGGGAATTCCAACAAGACCTACATCTCTGC